TGTTGAATGAAATATGCAGCCAAGCACTTAAGTATGAAATATATACCAGGCTTCAAACTGTTTTTAAAAAATACCCCAGTTTTATAATCTCTCTAGTCCAATCAGTATGAATCATAGAACCAAGGAAATCAATAAAATCAACTTCTTATCATAGGCCCGCTGTCAATTGTGACTCCCCATAGGATCAGGAAGGGCAACCTCTCCAGTGCAAGCTAGGCAAATCCTCAAGAGGCCACATCACTGGACAGAGTTTCTAAAGGCTCATGGTACTGCTTTTCTTTTTGTTCCTGGGAACAGTTTAGATAGTGACCCTTGTTGGTTCCCAGGCATGTGCTTGATTACTACGGCAGTGGAGTGCTATCCTGCTCCTATCCAAAGGATGGGGTAGGGGGAGTGTCAGCCCTCAGGCTGTGGAGGGGGCATGGGTTTGAAATGTACCACTTTACCTCAGCTCAACCCTGCTCACGGAGATCTCCCATCTATATGACAGTCCTCCTTTCCCCTACAGTAATCCTGTGAGGGAATAGCCTATGGGTTTGCCCCAGCCAACTCTTTACTCCAGGAGACAGAAGGCTAAGCTCCTTTATCGTTTTGTCCTTGCTAGATCTATGAAGTGCTGGAATAGGCACAGATGCAGTTTTCCGTAGCTGGTTAGCAAGTTATTTATGATCACAGGCCACTGGCAGGAACGTGGTCAGTTTGCCAAATCTCAAATCATTTCACTGGGACAGGGATGACTTGTACAAGTCAAACTGAAATAATAGTGTAAATTTTTTATAATTGACATGTTCCCATAATTTGCACCTTTTCAGGTATCATTAAAATTCCTGTGTTCTTATCATTTTCTGAGTTCTGATTGAATTTCCAGTAATGTTCTCTTTCTCAGAAATGCTTAGTATATCTGTTGACCTTTTACTATGGACCTATCTATGGAAGGCAGAAGTCCCTACTTATAAAACAAACAAGTAAAAATTGCTTAGGATCTTTCTTGAGGGGCTTAGACCCATTATAGTAAGTCCTTTGAAGTTCCTATAGAAATTGTTATTAAATGCTTCGTGGGCTGAAGTCTAATGGAAGAAGTATGGTAATCAGTACGATAATCTGCTTCTTGGAAAGCTCTGATTGCTTGGAGATAAGGTAGAGTCTGTCATGATTCTTCCTAAGGCCCAGCAATCTTAAAAATTGTTGCTGGTGGTGCTGAAGTATAATAAACATTATGCTAGAGTGTACTAGTTTCCTGCTACTGGCAACATTTCCTCCTGATCTCTAGAAAAGACTAACAGAATTGTGTATGTCGGTGGAACCATGCCCAATCAGGTGATCTTTTCTGGAAACTTACATGGTTCTCATTAATCAGTTGCATCACCTATAATATGATAATGAAGGAGGACCAGGAGAATATGAAGGTATATGTTATTCTAGGAAAAAACATCTTAAAGTCAGGAACTATTGAGACCCAGGCTTTGATCTATGGCTTGGCTTTCATAGATGAAGGATAATATCTGATAGTCTTATATAGCTTTTAGTATTAAGAAGAGGTAAGACAGGTCAAAGAGACAGGCACTGTTGGATTCTATTACTATAACTACATGCCTATTTTGTAAGTTCCTAAAATGTCATTTTCTCTGTGTTCTAGGCAGTATTCAAGTGTGGTCCATGGATTGACAGCACAGTATCAGCTGAGAGCTTGTTAGAAAAGCAAAGTCTCCAGTCCCCATCCCAGACCTACTGACTCTGCATCTCTGGGGTGGGGCTCCAGGATTCTCTTTTAGCATGCTCGCCAAGTGATTCTTAATGCACATTAAAGTTTGGGAAGCAGTGTTTTAGGGCATCATATCCTTAAGTGTGTTTTCTTAGTTTTTTAGTAAGTGCCACACCAAAAATGCTTCCACTCATGGTCAAATGAATTTAGAAAATGCTGGGTTAAACAAAGTTAAGCTTTTTAGTTTTTATTTTTTTCATGGGGGGTACCAGATTTTGTAGACCTTCTAATACGTTACTCTACTGCTCAAAATTCTCTATTGGACTCCCAACATGCTTAAAGTAGAATCCAAAGTCCTTATCACAGCCTCTGAGGCCCTGCATGATCTGGCTGTTGACTCTCTGATCTCATTTCCTATCTTTGTTGCTCTTGCTTACTACACTTCACCTACACTGATTTTTTTAGCCAAGCACACTCTTGCTTTAAAGCCTTTGCACTTGTCATTCCCACTGCAGGGAAATCTCAGGTCTCTGCTTACATCTTTTTTCTTTAGAGAGACATTCCCAGGTCATCCTATACAAAATTGTAGCTCCTGTCACTTCACTCCAGTCCCTTACCCTAATTTATTTTTCATCACAGCGCTCACTACTGTCTGACATTTACAGTATTCTTTGTTGATTGGTTTGCTGTTTGTCTCCCTCACGAGAACGTAAGCTTCATGGATCTGTTCACTGCAGATCCTTTAGTACCTGGACTAGTGCCCAACACAGTGTAGGTTACTTAATAAATATTTATTGAATTAATGAACAAATGAGTGGAGAGAGGAAATTGAAGAATAGACAGTAACAATAGTAGGACAAAGTACGGCTGCCCAGGAAAAGTGTGTTAGCCTCCCAGAAAGCAGGATAGAGAGGACACTTGCAGGGATTGGTCCTCCAGGGTCTTAGGAGTCATACACTATTATGAATGATCCCAAATCTTTGATTGTTACCATGAAGACCACTGAGATATGGGAAAATGAACGTCATGTATTTTTGTCTGTAATCATGGAACGGTAATGACCATTTCACACAGAATGGACTCCCAGTTAGCTCTCCAATGAAGTATTTTCCTTAGTTCTTTTCCCTATCAATTATCTATCCCTGGGAAATCATTCACTTTCATGGCTCCAGCTGTTATTAATAGACACTGGCCAAATTTCTGTGTTTACTACCCAACCTTCTCTCCTGTATTTCTACTGTCAAATGGACATGTCTACTTGGATGTTGAATTTGCACCTTCAGATTCAAGATAGAGCTAAAAGCATCATCTTCTTCCCTAAGCCATATTCCTCTCTGATTTTCTTACTTTTGGTAATGGCAGCAATATCCTCACAGTCTTTGAGGCTGAAAACCATGGGAGTACTGTAGAAGTCTCTAGACTTCACCTTTTCTTATTCAAACAGTTGCTCAATCTTGTATATTACTCCCAATGTTTCTTATATCTGTATTTGTTTCCTTTCTGGGGGTTTTGTTTCTGTCCTAATACTGGACTATTATAAACACCCCTGAACTATCCCCCTCAGCCGTGCTCTCAATCCATCTTAAACAGATTCCTCAGCCTGATTCTTAAGATACTGCCCAATATGGCCACGCCTTGTCCAGACCTCTTTATGTCCACTGTTTCCTCACATCCTTTCTCTGATCTAGCCAAACTGGACCATTTATTCTTTTTCCAACTCTTTCTGAGATCTTTTGTTCCATGTCTTCACTCATTCTGCTCCCACTGACAAGAAAGCTTTTCTCATTGTCCATGTTTATTAGTATCCTGTCCATTCTTTAACACCGACATCAAATACCCTCTCCTCCAAGGTGGCTTTCTGATACTTTCTTTGAGAAAAATGTGTTTTATTTTTTCGATATCACTTATGATTTTGGCATATCCTACCTCATTTAATAATAATTTGTATCCTTATTTTACTGCTACCACTGTACTGAAAGCCCCTTGTAGGCAGGGCCTTTGTCTTACTCATCTCTGAATCTCCACAGTAGGTATCTAATATATATTTATTGACTTGAAATGAAATACCATGACCCAAACTATATTTTGTAATAGCAATGCAGTCATATCATGGACTAATAATGTTCTTTGGATGGAGAACTCATTGGATGGGGGTATTCACATCCAGGCCTCTTGGGAGTGGTATGCCAATGTTATTAATCATTTGACACAGAAAAGGTGCAGAAAGGTTAAGTGATTGTCACTTTCACACAATAGAGGACCCAGAACTCTCAAGTCCTAGTCTGCAGGTCTGATTCAGGCTTCTCTTAATAACTCTTCCTCCTCTGGAAAATAATAATTGCTGTTGTTCAGTTTTTTCGGCATCTGAACTGCTCGGAGCAAGGGAAACTGAAAGGCTTAATCTATTTATCCTCAAGGGATAAATTCAGATTCAGATGCCCAGGTCTCAAAATGGCAGTTGCCTTTTCTGCTTCTAAATCTGGTGTCTGGGGAGCAATCCTAAGAGAGTCTGCCTCCATTCCACCCATCCAGCACTCACCCTCCCACAAATCTTAAAATTCATTTGAACTGATGAAGTCCTGCTAATTGCCTCTTATTGGCCTGTTATAAGATGAAGCATGGGGAAGAGACAAAGCCTCCCTATTCACATTCTCAGTGGGCAGCAGGGGTCTCTGCAAAAATAGAGGAACTGGGGCCTAGGCTATTCAATTTTGAAAGTCAGGACAAGATCTTCCACCATTCAGAATCCCACATTATAATCCCACATTATAATCACAATATTGCATCCTGGGAGACCCTGTCAGTTTTCTCAAATGGTCTGCTAGAAATTTAGCCTGTTTAATATTATAGTCTATTTAATAAATCAATACTACTCATTGACTTTTTTTCCTCCAGAGTGATACACACTTTACATTTTAATTTCACTATTTTTTTTTTTCCCATTTGGAGGTGAGAGAGTGAGAGAGAGAAAGAGAGAGAAGGGGCAGTGCTTTTCATGAAAATACTAGTTATTGTATTCATGTTTTAAGAAAGCAAAGGGAAGACAAGTACTGCAGCCTGATAACTGAACACTCTGTTTAGAATTCCCTCCTCTCCATTGGACCTTAGCTAAGTTTCAGTAATTATTGCTCAGGCACATAGTCTTGGAGCTTTGCTTTCTCTCAGACTTGTACACAGTTCTAGGAAGGGTTGTTGCCAAAGCCATCATGTGATTTATTGACCCTCCACTGGGACAAGGGGGAACAGATATAACTTTGTGATTTTATTATAAGGAGGCTGGGTTAATATTTCTAGGTGAAACAAGCTACTATACCAAGTTCAAACATCTGAAGAGGGAGGTTAAGAAACCCTGAGTGTGGGGTGTAAGGATTATTCTGTCCTGGGGCTGTACAGACGTCGTCTGAGGCAGGGAGCAGGAGAAGAAAGGACACATTGTGACCCATTTCCAACACCTCCTGTGTGTAGAGGCGGAAGTTCCTTGCCTGCAGAGGGACACGCGCGGAGGAAAAATAGGAGAGTTACAACATGGCACTTACATAAACAACACCAAACTGGCATAAAACATCTAACAAAATTACACGACTTCAAGCTTGGAATTTTTATACAACATAAATATTAGGGTTCAGCCCATTTAATAATGCTATATAAAATCAAGATTTAAGGCAGTAATGTTCCATATAAACTCTGAAAACAACATTTATGCTTCTTATAAAAGCAGAAAATGATTGCATTCTGTGGGTTTTTCAAAATGATGAATATAATTACATGAAGCAACAAAAATGGATTGAATTAAAAATCTACTAGTTTCAATTTAAGTTGGTTAAGGGGGAAAAATGTAGTTTCTGGCCAAGGACTGAAAAAATTTTACAAGTATCCAAAAAAAAAAAAAAAATGTTGTATGCACTCTTAGGCAGTTAGGCAGCCCTCTCCCAACATGTGTATGTAGCCCAAGAGTCACCAATGAAATATGAGCTGCTTCAAACCTGCTAAGCTCAAGAAACCCTTTAATAGTATCTACTGTCACAAGTAGAGCTGGTGTGTTTTTTTCTCCTCCTGAGTACATGGCCACCCCTGGAATAATCCAGTTGCTCCCCTAGTGCCTTTATGGCATCTTGTACAATTTATTCTTCATCAGTGTTGGCTGTTTTGGACTAACCTTGCAGTACTGACTTATAATCCAAGCAGTACCCCAATGGAAGAACACTCTTGGAGTCTCTATGTCCCTGTGTCCATGGGTCACGGGCCAATTCTGGGTGATAGTCTTCCTGTTTTATAGGCTAAACTTGGTTGATTTTGTGTGTGTGTGTGTGCATGTGCGTGTGTGCCTGCACACATACGTGTGTGCTGGGTATGGGGAAATGGTGAACTAGGCCAAAAAGAAAAAAAAGAGAAAAGAATTCAGCCTAATGCTACATCATGTTAACTTACTAGACAGAGCCTAATAAACTTTTACTATTCTCTTCTGTGCCAACAGTTTTTCCTGAAGTTGCTTATTAGTAGAGGTTGGATTTGCACATTTTGATTTAGATAAGACAATAACTTTGACGGTAAATTCTCTGTGAAAAGAGAGCGTGGCATAACCTTGGCATTGCTATAGGTTATAGTACCACTAGTCTGCTCTTCTTAGATAAAACATTTGTATGTCTAACTAAATGTGTACTTATCATTTATTCTCCTTGACTTGTGCTATCCTGAAGTTGAGACTTGGTGTCTTTTCAAGGTGGGCTGGCCAGTGATTTTTCCTTGCTTGGCCAGACCACAGTAAAGCCGGGTCCACGAGCTGTGGAAGAGGTCAATATGCAGGAGATAGAGAAAAGGGGCAGAAGTGCAGTCTGTGTCCACTTGTAGGCGTCAAATTCAAAGTGTGCAGCATGTGCAAAGTGGTATTTAAATCAACGAAAATGAACTCATATATCTATTTTTTTTTTACCTCTTAAGTTTTATACACAGTGCAGTTTCCATTAGCCATAAAAAGAAGATAAAAATGGTAAAGACTAGTACCTGGTGTAGAGGTATATTGATCTGCTTAAGGAGAGCTTTCACTGCCATCTGGAGCTCGTAGAAGAACAATTGCATGGGGCAGTCAGAAGTATGATCCACACTTTCCATAGATTCAGAGCCAGAAAGCTTTTGGACCCATTCCCACTCCTCTCTGTATGTTGAGTCAAGTTAAAATTAGAAATATAACAAAAGTTCAGAACACAGCTCAGAACATTTTTAATGTATATGTCCAGAACCTGGATAACCAATTTTTGGTGGTTAAAACTCAATACAATTCATGAAATTTGAACTTTTTGCCACCCAAATGGAGTTTAAAATGAGCTTTTGCTAATTTAAACTTAGTTCACCTACCAAACCACATATACCTCAGAACAGCAGGTCTAATTTGTATCAGTTCGTTTCTGAGATTGGAGCTTTGAAATATTTGGTAATAATTTCCTGACTATCTTCATTTTTCTTTCCCTGAAGATCCTCTGTAAATTCTAAGACCCTACATTTTACCACAGGGGCATCTGCTGGTTAATTCAGCAGTTGGGTAACCACAGGACTCTGGTCCAACTCAGGCAACAAACCACATGGCACATTTCAACCCTGGCCTGTTGTAATCATGGGGACTATTTTGGCTTCTTACCCCTTCCAAGAGCTTGAGGAGAATCACGAACAGGAACACCAGACAATTCCAATAAAAGGAACCAGGGGACACACATCACTGTTTCTATCCTCCTTTCAAACCAGTCATCTGTGTTTTTATTCTGCGTGCTTTGTAATCCTTCCTAATGAACTTTTCCAAATGTCATGCAGAAGGGAGGAGAAAAGAATGATGGTGGAGAAAACACATCTGGTTTGTCCCCCAAAGGCCGCTTTTCAAAAGGAGCTTGAAAAGATCAAGGTAAATGCCTCCTGGGAACATTGTTTCCACAGGTATGCTAGCGCAAGTCTCTAAACACATTCATTTGGCCCCGTTTTTCCTTTCTCTAACTCTACAGGGAGCAGCAATATGCTCTCAGGAGCAGGCTAGAGAGGGAAGGAAAGCCCTCCTCTCTGGGCACGGAAAGAGAGGAGGTGCTAACATATGTTCCCACCAGTGTGAAAACCCTCTGAGGGCTCTCCCCAGTGGGCTATACCAGCCTGGTGCGTCAGAAAATGAAATTGATTGTGACATGAGCTTTTCATCAGAAAACAATCTCTTTTAACCAAGTACCCTCTTAGAAAAGTTTTTGTGTTCAAGATACCTGTTTCCTTTCAATTCCCACACTGGAAAACACTGTGGAAAATCTACCCTATTGTCCCACTAAGAGAAACAAAATAAAAATTAAATCCTACTTCAATCTGGTATGCGGTTGGCTTCACAAATAATTGAAATCTTTGAGAACCTGCTTGAGAGTTATTTCTTTTCTCCCATCACTGATATTGAACTAAACGAGGGGGTTCTGACTAGCACAAGCTTTCACAAAACCTAACGGAGCACATTGCTAAAATAGCATCTGTAATAGAATTAGAGAATAAATTACCAGTAGGAATACCATGAAACATCTACCACTAACTAAGAAGTTTAGTCTATAAGGATGAGGGAGATGGAACTGGCAAGAGTGAAGGCTACTGGAATCTTTTGTAAAAATGAAACCTGGATCCTTGTCAAGGGGAAATTAGTTGGCATAACCACTAAAAGATAGAGTCTAAACCTTTAAGACACAAATCTAGAAAATGGATGAAAGTAACCATTGCTGAGTCAACCCACAAATGAGCCATGTAACCTCTTGGAAAGGATTGATAAGATAACCAAAGTTCCCGTAGAAGTGACCACCAGATGGCAGACTTAAGGCCTGGGTGTAGTTGATTGGTGAAAAATGAGAATATGGCAGCTAGTGAGTTCTTTGAAGAGTCCATCATCATTTCCTTTGTTGTCATCAAATAGTATTTAATAAACAATACACTATAGTTAATAAGCTCTTGCCACTTTATGGACCAAATTTTAAATGACCAAATTAGAATTCTTTTTGGTTAAGCAAATCCATAGGTATAACTAAAATCTGGGGATCTCATTTGTACTCTGAAGCCTGATGAAGTCTGGAGAGTTCTTTTTCTTATCTGTTCTGTCCTTTTTTTCAGGTTGAGCACAATTCAGTTCATTATAGTAGGCTTTCAGAGGCCTGCTAGAGGGCTGGTTGTAAATCTGAGCCAGATTACCAAGATTGGGCAACTTTCCCAAAGCTAACAGGGTAATTCACCATAATGCCAAACCATAGTGCAGTTTCCAGAAGCACAGGCCTTGTTACTTTTTTTTTTTTTTTTTTAGAGAACTATAAAGAGTACAGGAAACATACAAAGTCCTCAGGCCAGAGGGTTAGGGGTGGGGAGAATGAGGATGGGGGATTCTTTAAGGGGAAATCAATTGCTCTACCAGAACCCATTTCCACAAGTGATACTTTTTAAAAAAATGACTTACTAAGTTGTGAAGAAAAGATACTGGAAATAGAATGTTGAAAGAAAAGGGCATTTATTCATTAACCAGTTGAGTATTGGTGGTTGCACCATGAATACCACAGAGAGGAAAGTGAAAGGAGTGTGCCCCTCCTTCATGGGCTCATTCCTTCCACCAACCACCACCACAAACCCTCCTTATCCTGACATTAAAATGCAGCGAAGCCTCTGCCCCGGTGTGCTGGCACCTGGGGACATCTCACCACGGAACCTACACCATGTCAGTTTCCTTCTGACATATCAAACCCATCATTTGAGCCATTGTTTCATCACAAGGAAAATCCGGACTTCTCACAACTTACTTGGAAATGTTACTATTTTCACGGATCTTCACGTGGCAGAGAATGTTGGGCAACTTTTGGGTAACTAGAACTTTGATCTGATCCACAGAGCTACACAGCTTTAGGTAA